GCGAGCTCCCTGAACACCCTTGAGGTACTCATCTGGCCCCATAGATTTGTGTATGCCATCTCTGAATGCCACTAAGCTCCTAGATGCAATAGAAACATGGTGTAACAGCTTTCATAGGTTGGATACATGTTGTTTAAATAAACTCAAAGCCCATTGCTGTTCAAGAAAAAATTGTATTTAAATTTGCTTGTACATCTCCTGTCCCTGTTTTAAGAGGTTCAGGTTATTTTTGGTCTTTTTGTTACCCTGGCACAGCAATATTTCTGTCTTTGGAATGGAAATGGAAGCAGTCGTCTTTAAGGGTCTACAGCACTTCTCAGTAGTCTCCTGAGCGAAAAAAAACCCCTAAACAACATTTTATGTCCCTTGTCCATGGAGTCAACCACTTTACCACAGAAAAGCTATTAGGCTAGCTTGGCTTGGTTTACACATGGTAAAACTGTGTTGGTTGTTTCCAGTCACTGTTTGTATTCCTCAGATGTGGCTTCCAGGAAAATTGGCTCCTTTATTCTAGGGGATCAAAGCCAGGCTTACTGTCTTCCATTGACAATCAGATTATGTCTGTGGCAATGGCAGAAATTACTCCTAAGCAAAATAATGGGGGGAAAAAAAAAAAAAAAGTTATAAGTTATGACTTAGTGTCCTAAGGCAAGTGAAAATAAGCCAACCTGTTTTTAGCAGCTTGGTCCACAGGGACTATTTTGCATTAAGACCAGGTGCTTAAAACCAGTGGCTACTGCCACTTTTGTAGTCCATTACTGAAATTAGTATTTTAAAAATATTTTTATGTGAAGTCTGCAGTCAGGAGAGAACCAAATATTCTGCATGTCTTTCAGTTTCCAGAACTAGTTGGTTTTTTTTTTTGCATCTTTGTATTGAAAATTTTGAGGTTTTCTTTATATGGTGTTGGCATACATTGAGTAAAAGATGTTGAAATGGCTGAAGTGTCAGGAAGCCTTTCATCTATTAGAGTTTATTTAGAATAAAGATGTACTTAATGTTGAAATTTTTTCTTAAGAGTCTTGTATGATCTTGTCCGTTGCTTACATTGTAGGACAATAAGTAGTTTTTTTCATAACCTTTGTACAAATGTACTGTTTTATGTATGGTTTTAATCTGGCCAGATGTTGAAGAAAAAAAAAAAAAAAGTAAAGGGAGCACTAAGAGTAATTCTGCTTGGAAAATCATAGACCTCTACTAGTTCCATGTTTCTAGGGGTTTGAACTGTAGGACACAAGCTGATATAGCAGTTTCCCCTTTTTCTATGTGGCAGCTAATAAAAGTTTGAATTGAGAATAGCTATATATACTGTACCTACTTAGTGGTAACCATATACCACAATCAGACTACAGCTGGGCAACTATGTACTAGTTAATTTTATATATTTTACCAAAAACATAAAGTGTTTAACTGTACTAACTATAATATATATTTAAAAATATTAAATAAAACACTTTTCCCACATAAAAGCAGTCTCTGCCGTCTGTCCTCTTACAAGTCTTTTCAGTTCCTTGGAACTTTTCTTTCCTCCATCGATTATCTTTAGGCTTCTTTAGGTAATCAGTTCTTTAAATAATGAGTTTTATGTTCAAAAAGGAAATTAAAAATACATTGTTTTAAAATGTGTGTTATCTCTTTCAAACAGATTTTTAGTCAAAGTTACTGTAGTATCACTAGTTGAGTGGTTTTCTACCATACTTTCAAATAAAGGTAAATATATTCATCCAGAGAGAAGGGATTTAACCAGATTTCCTAAATTCTTTCAGAAAAGAGGCTTGCTCAAGGGATACAGTCTATCTCCTTTTCATTTCCTGGAGGCATCTTATTAGATTAGTTTCCCAGTTTGGTCATGCCCCTATATCATTCTGCATTTTATTGCAGTCCCATACTTCATTCTCCAAAATTGTTGCCCATAGACACATACACACAAACATATAATAAAAAATTACCACAGGAGACCTTGAGCAAAAAAAAATAATAATTTTATCATGCAGTGAGTTTTATACTAATGTTTTGCATTTAAGGCAGAAGTAATGTGAATTGTAACCTATGATTCCTTTACTGGTTGAGCAAAGTAACAGAGAACTCAAGTAATGACTTCTTCAGCCACTGCAGTTACAGCACAAAACATCTTTTGACACATGGAAATGGGACCAGGCATGTATTCTGACTCTGCATGTAACAAATTAGCTAAGCTGCAAGACCTTACGTAATTTGCATGGCAGATAGCCATCAACCTCATAACCATCAATGCAGGAGGTAAACACAAATCTTTTCTGTTAGTATCACATGTGCAAAATTACCTAGCTTTTGCTTACGGCATTGAGATATACTCTGAAGAATCAAAGTCTATTGCCCTAGTTCACGGCAGCAAACTGAAGTCTTTCTGAATTGATGCTTGGACTCAGTGATCTTGGAGGTCTTTTCGAACTGTGATGATTCTGTGATTCTGTGAAGTCACTGTAAAAAATTTCTGGAAAGAAGTTATTATATATATGCACTTATAAAGTAGAGCCTTTTCTATGTAAAAGCAATATTTATGTTAATGAAATATTAAATACTTAATCTGTTGTATACTGTAGAGCTTGTTATTAACATATATAAGTTAATATTTTAATTTGTAAATATAACAATATATTAAAATTACTTGGCAGTATGTTATCTATATAGTCAACTGTATTTTACAATTTGCCAGTGTTTTTGTCTAGTTGCAGCTGATTTTTAAATGCTTTTCCACAAACCATTAGAAATGGAATATCAGACTGATTTTGATGACTCATAAAGCTTCAGTGCATTTAAATGTTCATAATTTATCTGTATAATTTAACATCTTCCTCTTATGTTTCTAATTCAATAGAATAATGTAAATGAAAGATCATTTCAATTGACTTGTTTGGTCTGTCTTCTGCAACATTTTCTTTGTAATGTCTCCAGGGCTTTGTCCACTCATTTTAAATAATGTTATTTCAGGCTTTAAGCCTTTTTTTTTTTTTTTTTTTTTTTCCATATTCTGATCAGCTTCCTGGACAAATGGTGCTCAGGTTTTATTTTAACCACATGCAGTATAACACCCTTTTGTGATCTTTCAGCAACATCACCCCCTACTTTCTCTGTAATCTGTCTTGTGAGGGAACACTGAGAAACTATATCTCTTAATTTCCTTTAATGCCTTGACTAGGAGAATTCTTCACCAGTTATAATCTGATGATCTTAATATTACACCCATAGAAGTATCCTCTAATATTTTTTGTGTCAATTCTACATGAAGCATTGAAAATGACATAAGATTACTACAGCTTTGCAAAAGGCTTTCAGTATTCCTGCACTGCTTCAAGTGTATAACATTTTGAGTTGAGTACAATCATTTGTAATTACTGTAGCTTTTGTTATTTCAAAGTATATGCAGAAAATTTCTGGCTGCCTATTATTTTTATTAAAGTGATATTTTAAAAGGACTCTATAATAAAAGTACAAAGTTTGTGTTCTGCTGTACATACATTTACAATTTTCAAAATTAGGATGTACTGGGAAAAGAAAAGAAAGTTGGTGGTGTCCTATAAAAATCAGTGAAACCAAAAGGAAAATACATAGATTATTGAATAGTAAGTTAATTATGTCAGTTACAAAATTACATTATCATTGCTCTTTTTGATGAGCTGATGCAAAAAATAAAAATTATGGAGTACTTCACTTTCCACGTTTTCTGAGAATGTCTTTGGCCTCTTTTGGCTGATTTTATTTGCAAATCAAGTCCACCCAAATATTTATAAATTATCAAATTATCCTTACTGCCATAAGTACAGGTCTTTGCAGAACTACTACAGGGTCATGTGAGTTTGTTCTCTCTGCTTCTACATCTCAGTCACACCCTGGTTAGATGAGATTGACGTCTGGCAGATCAGGAGCGATCAGCTGACACTAGTTCCTGTAGCATGAACAGAACTTTATAGATATTTTCATTTTAATTAAGTTACTCATTCATTTTCCTTTCCAGCACCTGCATTATAACTAGTTAAAATCTGTAGACATCTCACCTCTTGTCTACATGCAGATGGCTGACTTCTTCACCAGTAACCTTGAACTTTTTTTCTTGAGTTGAGATTTTACCTGCTGAAAGCTGTTGCTCATGTCTTTTAATAAACCCCAGCTTGACTTAACAGTTTCTGAGCCTGTGTTTCCAAAAAAGTATTCTAGTCCAATGTGACCAGGGTGCTAGTTTTTTGTACACTTTTTGTCATTGCACAGGAGCCCTTTCATGACAAAGCCTTCCCAACCTGTTCAGATGCCTCATAGTTTCTCTTCCCTACCATTTTTCAATCTTTTCAGGACTTCCAGATCCTCTTTCCTTTCCTTTTATAAAGGTTGAAGCTTTTGTTTTAATTCCTCCTGGCCTTTTTTTTTTTTTTGGAAACATGTTCATGAAGAAAAGCTGAAAGTGAGACACAATGTTGTTATGGCATCATCAATATGAGAAATGGGAAACATGCAATTTTAAAATATAGTTATCAAATGTATGACATAAGATACCAACAGGGTTTCCTAAAACCATTTCTTTTCTGACACAGAAAATGTCCTGTTATTCTCTCTGCTATCTTTGCAATATTATTTTGCTGGGGAAAAAAAAATGTTAGTAGTATAAAATATATTCTCCCTGAAGAGTTAGAATTGTTCTTATTCTATATCTCTCAATTTCAATTAATTTGTTCTTCATCTTAAAAAAAAATAAATAAAAGAATTCCTACAGAATATCTCTGCCAACTGGTCTATTTCTCTTGATTGATAGCAGAAGGTATTGGAAAAGCTGTTTATCTATATATTTGCATATATGTATATTCTTAATTTAAAGAGGCAGCTGTTTCATAGTGAAAAAGGCTGAAATACAACATCTTTTACATGAGAGCTGCTTGTCAAAAATTGATTTCAGCATTTTTCATGTATACATAGAATGGAGCTTACCATCTCCACAAGCTATACAGTTCATATCTTTAATATCTTTACAGCTCTGGTAGCCATTGGACGATACAGCAAGACAAAAGAGACAGTGGATGTTGGATGGTGCAAAGAAATCACAGACCATGGAGCTACCCAAATTGCACAAAGCAGCAAGTGTCTCAGATATTTAGGACTGATGAGATGTGATCAGGTAAGGAGCATTTGCATGAATTACTGCCTGCTTCTGGGCACGTGTGAGAGTGTTCATATGTGTATGTGTGGGTTAGGGAGAGAGATGGGAAGATTTATGTTCTTCTTGACAAACAGGTTGGGTACTCACTACTATAGTAACTCTTTAGTGTACTGTGTTCACATATTTAGCTTTAAAAGTATCCAGAAAACTAAAGAGAGCATTATAAATTTTTGCTGACACTAATTTTCAAAATATACCCACTGGCCACACCCACAGCCTGAGATGCTCACAAAACTTTTATAGAAATCTGCCCTCTGATTTTTAATATTTTTGGCTAAAACTGGTTGCTACGTCATGTCATTACTATGACAGACCACTTTGTTTTTTAAAAAGAAAGAAAAAAGAAACAGTAGAGTAAGAAAAATGCTTCAGTATTACTTTCAGCATAATTTTCTATACATCTCTGTTCTTGTTCATGTGTACGGGATTTGAAACACAAGAGCAAAGATTTGGATAAAACCATAATGCTCAAAAAACCAAACAAAGACTGATTTTCTTCTTACATACCTTTCCTACCTGAAATATATTAAGAATTCCTAGAAGTTCTAGCATTTTATCATTAGGAGAAGAGAGGACAAGATAGTCCAGCTGCACCTCATCCTGTGAGGAATCATAAGGCTTCAGGAATCATGACTGTGTTTAGAAAAGAGAGATCAAGAAGCCTAGGAACATAGCAGAAATAGCTAGATGTCACTGGAGGTTCAGTGACTCTGGTCTCAAATCTTCAAATAAAACTGCAAGGATTGATTATTTTCCTGCCATTATGATCAAATGTCCATCCTGTGATGCCCCTGATAAGCATGTCTTTAAGGCCTGCAGATTTCTGATTGGATACAGCTTGTGGAAACACAGGTTTTTAGTATAAGAAACTTCATGCTCAAAATTGCTATCTTGCATCCCTTGCAGTGCTTTACAGAAGACAGTTTAAAAAACAGTATTTTAACTAGTAAAGAATAATAATTTACAGGTTAGTTGTAAAATTATTAATAACAGTTTGCAAACCCAGCCTTAGACAGTTTCCAGTTTGAGGGGAGGTTGAGCACTTGGAAAAATTGCTCTGTCTCTTAAAGCTGACTCCACTCAATCTCCTAGGTGTTAGTGTTATATAAGAGACAATACACAAAAAGAGCATGTAAGTGTCTTTGAAAGATTGTGCTAAGATTAGGTACTTAGAGAATGTTCAAAGGCTTACTTGGCCTTGGGAATTACGAGATGACCCTTGAATAACCTTACCAATTTTACACATATATATATTTATTTTGTGGGTTTATCTAATGTTGAATAATTTACAGAGATCTAGTAAATGTAGTAATTTATTCCTGTTTTCAGCTCCTGTAGAAAATCAGTGATCTTGATATTGAAAGGACGTTTTACTAGTTCATCAGTTAAACTATACATACTACAGTCTGTATTCCTCTAATTGCTGGTTAATGTTTTCCTAGTTTCTTAAAAAGAATTATCCACCATCTTTTGTGTGAAAAGAAACTGCTAAAAGGAAAAAAGAAATATTTTTGAGAAAGGTTCAAGGAAGATAGAGAAGCAACGTTGACTGTGTGCTAGCAAGTGTGTCTATATATGTGCACACATGCATGTGTATAAGTATTCAAAGCATGGTAGCTAAAACTTGTTAAGAAATGACTGAATGCTGTTAGTAGCAGGACTATCACTAGAAATTATTTTCTTGCTTGAAAAGCCTTGATGGGAAAAATAGCTCCTCAGACAGAATGAAGTAAGTATCTTTGCCTTAAGAGTTTTTGGCAGCGAGAAGATGCCAACTCCCTTTTTCCACAGCATATAAACAGAGAAACTACTGAATAAAACAATGTCTTCAGCTATCTGTCCCCAGTATCATGCAGAACTAATTTTTTCCTGTGGCAGCTCTATTAAATTAAAAATGTCAGCATCCAGCATTAAAGCGAATTATTGGGTGGAACAGAAAGGTTCATTTACATGACTAAAATTCTTGTATTTTAACTATTGTCAGCTTGTAGTGAAGAGGGGCTTAGAAGGTTTGTCCCTTCTAACCAGGCTTCCTTTCCTAAGCGACTGACTGTTATCCTGCTACTTAGGTAGCATTTATACTTTTCTAGGAATTCCTAGGCATTGTAATGAAATACTCAGACACAGTTACATAATGAGCATATGTCAGTAGACCTCAAATGGTTACCAGGAAAGTACTCTTTATGACTTAGGGTCTTTGGAATTTCTTTGATAGGCAGTTGACATAAATTAGAGGCGTCAAGGGTCCTCCCAAGAAAGATCAGAGAGACTGCAAGCCTGGGGCAAGACAGGCTCTGTTTTATGCCATTGATTATCTGAATACCTCCAGGCAATGTGTTTTAGTATTGATCCACATCATGAAAATAATCAGACTACTCATTTCTCATCAAACTGCTGTTGCCATGACCTTTCTTTTTACCACGCTCCCTGCCATCGAACATGCACACTACAGGAACAGTATGATCTTTGCCTTAAAATAAATGTGGTTGGGTTGAGAAGTCTCATAAATAATGCTAACTTTATCATGAGATGATCATAATAAAGGCATTTATTTAAGCTTGAAGTTTTCTACAGGGCATTTTAAAGCAATTCTTTCAACATTTAGATGTTGCTAAATAGCAACGTAATCACTATTTACAAGTCACATACAGAGAAAAGTCAAATATTGTATAATGCTGAATGTCTTTAAGAACAATCTATCATAGAATTTTGGTTTAGAAAATATGTTTATGCTTATATATACAAAAATATAAATAATATTTTCAGTGGAAAATTATCAGAGGCAAAATTGCTGCGCAAATGCCTCTTTTTTTTTTTTCTTTTTTTTTTTCTGGTTTTCCCTAGCAATTCCATGACTTAGGCAAATTTGTTTTTTCCTGCAGTACACAGCAGCAGCCGGAGAGTGCTCTGAACAAACTGGTTCAGGTGTAGGGCAGTGTGGACACATGGCCATAAGTCCTGATAGCAGTTTAAGTACAAAAGTGGAGCACCTTGTGCAGGAAGATTAGCACTCAGCCAAGTTCGTGAGATACCATCATATAGATGTGGTAGCAGAATTTACTGCTTCCATTTCCATGAGTAGCTCAGGAAATGGTAGCTTTATCTCTACAGTGTCATGCATTGTACAGCATCAGAAGTGAGACAAATACCATTAATTTCATATAGGTCTCTGAGAAACTGTGATCCAGACCTCAAATAGTATTTAGGCATTCAGAAAGTAGACCCTAAATATCTTAGAGTATCTATATTCTGGACAATGAAATTCCCCAATTGCCTGCATACAAACATCAACAAATAATCAAATGAACCTAGGACCCTTCTCCCATCTGATCTCTCTCATGGTACAGGGCATTGACCCTGTGCAAATATATATTTGTGTGCATTTGTGTATGTGGGTTTGTACAGGCACCTGACAGTACTTGGGACTACACAAGTAATGTGTTTCATAAAAAGGAAATGTTGCCATTCTGAGTCTCAATTTCTTTTGAAATCAGTAAGAGATAAAATTAGCATTTATTTAAGGCCTAAGCAGGGCACTATAGAGTTCTGAAATTAGAAAAAGGTAAGAGACACAGTATTTCTGTTTTGCGTTCTGGTGTTACCAACTACATTCGCCCTGTGCCCCACTCCCAGGAGCTGTGAGCCAGGCTTCATTCCCTTGTATTGCCTCTTCCTGATGTTCTGGCAGCACAGCAAAACCACAAATTCCCAGTTTCTCTGTGTAGAGGAGTGCTGCAGGGTTGTGAGCTGCAGACCAGGGTTGTGTTCTGGGACTTGACTTGCATGTGGGGGAACATGTAGCTTGTTTGCATACTGCCAGGATACACTAGAGCTCTTGTTTGCACTGCAGTAAATAGCAAGAAAGTTGTCTCCAGAACCAAGGCTTATATTTAATTCACCTGAGTTCAGTCTCCCCAAAGCAGGAATAGAATATGACTACCTGTTCTTCCAACAAAATTTTATCTGTAGCTCTATATTTTTTTAATCACAGATTAGGAAGTATATATTTTTAAGTATAATTAATCCTTTCCTTTAAATATTTAAAATATTTTGAGAAAGGTGCAAGCAGTTATGGTGTACTTTCTTTTCTTCCACAAACACTAACATCAGAATTCCTAAGAATCTGTACTTGCATACTCAGGTCATAAAATGATGCCTGTGTCAGATTCACAGACTCAAATCCACATATTTCAAGCTTCTTTTTTGAACACAAATGGGTACATTCCTATGCCTCAGCCAACCTAGATCATATTTACTTACTGTAGTTAGTTAATTATTTCTAAATATTTTGTATTTCATATTTCCAAAATAAATCTCAGAAAGAGGGTGATGTTTTCTATGCTGTTTACTGCTAGAACTCACGTTAAACGTGTCTTTGTAGTACTTCTCTATTGTGCTTTGACAATGACTCAAATAGCTTCTAAAAATGGAGGCTTGAAATCTTCACCTTTGTGGAAAATAGATCTGTATCACCCAGGAAACAGTGGGTAAAAACTTCATGTGTTTTCTGGCTGATAGCTTGGCTGGTTGAACAATGTGTCAGAATAACTTTTCTGTAGAGTTTGCAACTTTTCTCACGCAGATTTTAGTCTTTAAGTATCTTTTTCCTGTAGCTGTGGTGCTATTTGCAAAGGTTATCAAAAGTGCTAACACATAAAAGCAGGAGACATTTTTTAGGAAAACATGCAAAAAAATAACAGCAGAGCCCACAAAATTCACCAGTCGTAGCTATGTGTAAATGAAATGAAGTGCATCTGACAAGGTTGGCTGTGAATGGATACACAGCTTCAGTTAATAAATTGTCACAGCCTTTCTTCCTTGCTGCTTTTTTGCTTTTTTATTTTATTTCCAGATAGTCATGTTGCTTTTCATGAAAATAATTCTGAAAGCCCGTAGCTTCTTCCAGATTACTTTCTCAGACTAATTGTAGCATGTATTTCCTATTATAGCTGTACTGA